TGACAAAACTTTAACTCACCCTAAACCACGTTTTCCTTAGCAGTGCAGAAGTTGCAGTACGACTGTGGACACAAGGCTCAAAGTGTGTGTGAAAAGTTGCGTTGCTCTGTTGTGGTAGCGGAGCTTGCGAAGGTGCAAGCTCGTAGGTAGTGGGTTGGTGTGTGCCTAAGTGCCCTCACTGATCCTGAGCTCCCGGCTTGTGCCGGCATAGTCCAAGGGACTTCCTCGTGTGTCGTGAGCCCGAGTGTTCGTGCGCGCTTTGTGGCGGCCAGAACTTCTTAAAGAGTTACCTCCTCGTTGGAAAGCGTTGAGCCTTGAGCCCTTTGGAAAGGGATGGCTACAGCAGGAGGTGGTGATGCAGGTCAGCCACCTCAACCGCCAGGAGATGAGGGTGGAGCGAGCCCTGGTGGAGCTTCGGCCGCAGCAGCGGCTGGGTCAGCGACTGCGCTGACTCCTGAACTTGTTCTTGGGCGGCTTGCCGAGGCGGTCGCGCAGTTGGCTTCGACGGCAGGGTCTTCTGGGAGTTCGGGAGGCCAATGGAAGGAAAGCAAGTGGGTCAAGAACCCGGAGGCGTTTAATGCTAAAAGCATGGACGAAGAGGTTTCCTTATGGCCGGATTGGGCCTTCAGCTTCAAGAATTTCATGGCTGTTCAGGATGATGACTACAGGTCGGATTTCTTAAAAGCTGAGACTGCTACCATGTGGCTTTCGTTTGAGCAGTATGATCCGGCTTTGCGAGCACGCTCTTTGAGACTGTACTCGGTTCTTGCTTCGTACCTCAAGGGTCGTGCTTTGAAGATCCTCAAGTCTGTGACCAATGGAGATGGGTTCAGGGTGTGGCGGCAACTTCATGAAGAGCTACAGCCGTCAACAAGGCCCAGAACCTTAGCTCTTGCCCAGGCGCTTACAAAGTTTCCCCCTCTTCGAGAGGGGGGTTCAGTTTTGGAGTATGCCCTTACGTTTGAAAAATTGGTCTCTGAATATGAGCGGGGCAGTGGCCAATCTTATCCAGATGATCTCAAAATCGGCACTCTTCTTGCTGGACTTCCTACCGATGTGAAGCGTTACCTTCAGCTTCAAATAGATGACAGCACAACCTATCAGAAGCTGCGCCAAACCCTTTTGCAGTTCGAGAGAACCTCTGCCACGTGGAGTACTGAGTATGTCATGAAAGCAATAGGTCTCGACAAAACCGCCTACCCAGGAGATCCTCATGGTCCTTCTCCGATGGACGTTGACCGGGTTGAGGACAAGCCCAAAGGCAAGGGGAAGGACTTCAAAGGAAAGGGGAAAGGTGACAAAGGTGGCAAGGGTTTCAAGGGTTTCTCGGTCTACAAGGGCTTCTACCAAGACGGCAAAGGCAAGGCTGGCAAAGGGTATGCGCAGGGTGGCTTTGGAAAAGGTTACCAGGACAAGGGCAAGGGTCGCAAAGGCAAGTGGTCACACGACGGCGGCAAGCAGGGCAAGAAGGGTGGTTTTGTCAAGGGTCCTTGCTTTTCTTGTGGTCGTATGGGTCACCGAGCAGCTGAGTGCAGAGATCGTCGCGTAAATCAAGTTGAAGATGACAATGCTTCGGTGAGTACAAGGGCCTCTGCAACTACTACCCGAACAGCCTCCTCAACAGCACCCTCCACAACAACTGCCTCCCCAGCCAAGGTTTGCCGCATGGAGTTGGACACGCTGCCGCTGATCGAAGAGCTCCCGGACGACGATGCTGACAACACTGGGGCTTGGTATAGCACAGCTTTGGTTTCGGAGTTTGACCTTTACGAGGGTGAAGAAGCTTGGGATGAGCACAGCTGGTGGGATGAGTCCGAAGTTCCTGCTGAAGCTTATGAGTATATCAGAGCAGTCAGTGCGTGCGATGGTTGGTGCAGTGACTCTAGCGTTGAGTNNGAGTGCTTTGAGCTAGAGTGTGAGCTCCCTTCCACCAGCACGCTGTACTTTGAGCTTGATCGTGATAGCAGTGGAGATGAGTTCTTTAGAGAGAGCGGTTCCGAATGTGAAGTTCGTATGGTGAGCTGCCCCACAAAGTCTTCTGAGCCCTGTGAAGTCATTTTGGATTCAGGTGCCGATGTCACGGTGCTCCCGGCGCATCTCTTCAGTGCCGTTGGTGTTGCCGAGAAGCAGACTACTCGGCTCTTGGATGCCCAAGGCACGCCGATCCCGCAGATGTCGCAGAGAGCCAACGTTTCGTTCATAGTGAAAGGGTCTGATGGTCGAGAGATTGTGTTTCGAGATCGAGCAGTGCTGGCCAATGTGAGGCAACCGTTGTTGTGCGCTGGTAAGTTGTTTCGTGGTGGCTGGTATCCGAAAGCTAGTGCCACAGATGACGGTTTCATGGTGATGTGCAAGGGCGACCAAGAGTTTCCCCTCCACTTTGCCCGCAACTCTGTTGCGGCAACCATGCGCATTCTGAGGACCGAAGAAGCTTGTGTTCGCATGGTGGTCGAGGTGAGCGATGAGTTCCTTTCGGGACTCAAACGGCAAGGCTGGCAAGTGACTTCGGGATCAACGCCCACACATGTGCAGTGGAACTCGACTATGACTGCAGACCCCAGCCAGCTTTATGATCCCGAGATTCTACCCCTTCGCACCACTCTGGTGCACAAAGGAGGGAACAGGTTTGAGATTTTTGAGAGCGGTGAGAATTGGGAGCTGAAGCCTTTGGTGGATATAGGTTGCCAGCCAACTAGGATCGTGACTTTGTTGACTC